GTTCAACAAGCAATATCTTGAATTGGGGATAACCGCTGATGTTGTTTTCCTGAAATCAACAGCAGCAGGTGACGTGGAAAGCGTAAACTTCTTCCCATGTAAATCACCCTGTTCTTTAAAACAACCAACAGTGAATGAACATAGAATTTTAGCAATAGAAAATGTGTCCGGCTACTCTAACTAATACTCACACACGTGCACAAACAATATAGAACTAAGGGACATCCAACATTGTATAGATTGTACACACACCAAATAGAGACACTCAGATCGAATTACGGTATGATAATAATTCGTATATAATGAGACCGAGTGTGGTGTTTTATTTATTACCCAGGTGTTACCTGCATAAAATTGACAACCTAGCGTATTTGTTGTTATTTGTTCTAATTTCAAACCGATACCAGTTTCTTAACAAGAATTTTGTTGAGGACTAACCTTTGCACTTCTGTTGACATTCCTGAATGCACGCAAATGATTATAGTTCTCATCTGTTTTACTTGGTAAGTAAGACAAAACCTGTGGAAACGCTTTACAAATTTAATAACAGCAAATACAAGCTTCAAAAGAAGCAAATATTTCTCAATATAGAATAATACCGAACTGTCAACTCATGTCACATCACACTGCACGACATTCCGTCAACCGTCACTTAACCAGTTAGCCTAGTTAGAAGTTGAGTCGTCCTGAGAGTGGTTCTTACCAAAGGTAATGTTATTTGTTCCACCATTGATTGGGCAGAGAATATTGGGTAAGGCATCCGCCCGTATCCGCCCCCCTCCCCCCTTAATTTTAACGATGAGGAAAAATATATACGCATAGTCAGGTAACATGTTTTGACCGAAAGACTTAAAATAAGTTTTAACATGACATTGTGCATACAGACTTTAAATTATCGGGTTTAACAAGTATAAACATAATTATATACTATAATATTCTATATATGCAAAAAGTGAAACTTTCATTTATTTTCAGGCTTGCAAAACAGACAAAATGCCGCGAATTCCTTTGGTTCAGATTAAGACATAGACCACACCCAGACGTCCTTTTTAAACGGAACGTCTTGCTGTAAAACGAGTGAAAACAGACGTGATAAGTACATTTGTTAACTCAATATGTGAGCCCCTTGCTCTAGTCCCTTATATATTATCTTTATGTTCTTGTGTACCACTGATGTGTTCTTGTGTACCACTGATGTGTTCTTGTGTACCACTGGTGTGTTCTTGTGTACCACTGATGTGTTCTTGTGTACCACTGATGTGTTCTTGTGTACCACTGGTGTGTTCTTGTGTACCACTGATGTGTTCTTGTGTACTTGTGTACCACTGATGTGTTCTTGTGTACTTGTGTACCACTGATGTGTTCTTGTGTACTTGTGTACCACTGATGTGTTCTTGTGTACCACTGATGTGTTCTTGTGTACTTGTGTACCACTGATGTGTTCTTGTGTACCACTGATGTGTTCTTGTGTACCACTGATGTGTAGTGAAATAGCACAATACTAAACATCCCGCACACAGATGCCTGTCTACCTAGCTAACTAAAGGCTTTGTGGAGTAGATGTATCCTATGTGCTGAGATGGTTCAGGTACCGTAGTATATCTCATTTTGAAAGCACATCCGCCTTAACTGTTTCGCTGATGTCTGACACCAATTTGACACCAGAAACTCTATATAAGGCTTTTCAAGAAAGGGACTGTTGATACCACGATACCACGACACAAAGACTGCTAAGTGTATGTATACAAAGCTATAGATACCTGAACAAATTTAGGCCTAATATAATGCTATGCTTCATAAATTATTTTAGAATTTCGAAGTAATAAGTTCGGGGCATAACTTTGACATCACTAAAAATTGAAATTTTAGAAATATTTACATTCATTGTTCAATCACATTTACTATATTTTGAAAAGTATCACCATGTCTTTAATAATAATCATTGTTATATGCATGTGTTTTATGCACGCTGCTTCCCAGCATGTCAACCAAGACACAATGTCGAACGGAAAACCTGGCCTGATAGTAGAATCCAACCTTTTAGCTGAAAAGAACCAAACAGTCTGACCAGCAGATCAGAGACTTCATGTAGCATTCTTTCAAAACGGTTGAGGTGGTCTTTTCGATTGATTCACAAACTATGTTTTCAGGGTTGAATAGATGAAAATGTAACGAAACTGCAAGGCTGAGTGATTGTACGGCGCTTTGTTCGATTTGTCACGCGAGGTCTCCAACTCCATGTTGACACAGGTGTTCGCCTTCCAGGGTTGATCTGTTAAGACGGGAAGTTTGGCTCAGATTCCAGAGACTCGAGATCTCATATAAAGATGTGCAATCCTAATTAGCACACTAGATTATATGAATAAATAAAGTATTGAGAAAAACATTACCTGTAACTTCTCACCTGGGCTATGTAAGGATTACGCGACCAGGGACGAATGAGTGACAGTAGAACTCAGCTTTGAACATTTGAAGAGTAATTTTGTTATTTTACGGGGTGTCAGCTTAACGTGGGAGGAAAGACTTAAATAGCAGCGCATGTCTTGGGCGTTGTCGACTGCTGTGGTGAGATTTGTGAACAAATGTACATTGCTGACAGACCCCGAGTTGCCATCAAGGCAACACGTGGATCCTGCATAACATCAAAGGGGCGCAACTCTGTTTCGACTCCTCAAGGCCACTGAACGTCCCGTGTGCAATGATAATGGTGGTTGCATGAATTAAGCGCTAATATTTGTGTAGCCACATCAGAAAATGACAGTGCTTGATTGACTGGTATTTTTTTTAATCGAAAGTAAAGCTGACAGTGCTTAAACACGGTAATTAGCTGAGGGAATCCAGTATATAAACACACATTATGTAGTGAGAAAGTCTATATTTTGACTAAACGATTATCTGTGAAGTCGTTCGGATATAAAGATTTTAGTATACAGAGTTTGATTGTTCTGATAGTCCTGCCGTATAACGGTGGAGTGTACATAAGCTAGTATGGGTTCAGACTAGCCGGTGATTGATAGAACCAGCGACATTCTCACACAGTCAGGTTATCTTGACAAATAGCCAAGACGCCGAATCTGTCCATCCTATTTGAGTGTGGCTCTAATACGACAAGCATATGAAAGCAAATCGAAAGGTTTCTGACCTCATAGATCTTGGTTTGTGCAACCTGAGCTTTCATGAAGAACACCACGCCCAGGAAAGCAAAAGACCAAGCTGCAAACCGTTTCATTGTGAGAATCTTCAGAATTTAGATCTGAGGGGAATTGAGAAAAAGGATTAAACTGAGAAAGCAGCTCTGTTTGAAGATATATTATTCAGCATGGGTTGCTGGAGTCCAATTCTAACCGGATCTTCAAGGGTTTATGTTAGAAGAGATCATACTGATGCGCTGATATGTACGGGAGACCCTGACCCTAACGCAGCCTTCCAATATACAAATTACATAATATCACCTACTGATTTTTGTCTAAACTAAACTAAACCAAGCAAGTAGTCACAGAGACATATTTCCAATGCCACAAAAGGCACAAGGGTATTAAGAAGAAGGAGGTTTCCGATAACGCAAGGGACGCTACATGGAGAACTTTGTACAGAAGAAAGAAGAAGAAGAAGAAATATAGTTTATTAATGTGTCACATGCTGCAGAACATTAAAAAGGACGGTACATTATTGCGAGAGTTTAAAAGCAGCATCCGTCCATAAGGCCTATGAGACACAAATATCACAGTTGCATAAAACATTAGTAATAAAATCACACCCACACATACACACACGCAGGCCGAACTGTATACACAAACACAAAACGCATACACCTTCACACACCCACACGCACACACACATACATACACACACACGAGCGCACGAGCCTACAGACAGACACCTACGACAGACAGACCCACATACACGCGCACGCACGCACGCACACACACTTACACTTTCTTACCTAAAATGCATAAATTACATAAATAACAAACATATTGACCTTATTATTATAAGTATATTGTAGAGTTAACTATTCTACAGAAATATTACATATATCTGTGACTTTCACCTAAATCATAGCCGGAAGATCAGCTTAAAATGGTTTAATGTGAGGCACGCGTACGGTAGAACCCTTTGCCTTTGGCCACAGATGTTGGTAAGGAGAACTTGATGTCTGTAGTCTTGGGAAGCGTTGTCTTTAATCACTGGCCAAGGTAGAGATACATACAGGTGAATTCCAGCCAGAGTATTATCTGTCCTGGATGTTTGTCTCTGTTGCTTTCTCTGATATGTTTGTTGTTCAACGTCCAGGGTTCAACTATTTTTACCGATTAACCGGATGTTATTGGCCACAAAGATGTACCATCAAGATTGTGTATACTAACGCCATCTACATCTTGTTCAATCCATTAAGTCATCGGCAACGCATTCTTAGTGATGCGACCCGTCAAGATCTCGGTCAGAACTGGCCCCGATTTCTCGAAACAAACTTAAGTCTGAGTTTTGACTTAAGTTAGAGGTTTTACTAAAATTTGAGAAAGCGCAGGAAATGCATATCCCAGATTGAACTGAAATCAATATTACACTCAAACACAGTGGAAAATTTGTATTTGGTGGATATATTACTTAAGTTGTTTAAGCTTTTTTATTTTAAAAATGCAGCTGAGTTAAGAATTCAGCTGTTTCAAAATGTCAAACTCAGTTTGACATTCGAGTAAAAACTTAAGTTTGTTTCGAGAAAATCGGGGCCTGGTCTTTAGCAGCCCATGCTTGCCGCAAGGGGCGACTAACCCAGTATCGGGTGGTCATGCTAGCTTTGTTGATACAATTTATAGTATGCCAGTTACGGTGAACGATAATCATGATGTCAATCACTGGATTGTCTAGTTCAAAGACTCAATTGTTTATAGACCACATTGACATAACTAGAATATTGCTGACTGCTGCGACAAACAACACATGAACAAACCAAGCTAAAGCTGGATTGCGTCCACTAATACAAAAAACAAACAGAGGCATAACGCGAACCGTTTTAATCGAAAAATAAAAATTTTGGAAGCAAAGTAACCCCAGCACCTTCTATATATCATGAATCACGGTGTCTTTGGTTGTCCTTGGTACAGCCGTAGAGTCCCTAAAGGGCAGAGGAGTTGAAACAGTCCTTGTCATACGAATCAGATCCAGATTCTTCTTGCATAACGTCTTTAACACAGTGCGTGCTCAGAGTACATGATCATGCATTCGTTTCTTTATTTAGATCGTGCAGTGTTAGAAGGCACAGTTACTTTTCAGTTTCTGTTATGTGCCTATGTGTAACGGTTTGTGTCAGGATACTGTATGTGTGTACATGGATATTTGTCCTGCGGTTTGGTTGTCAACGAATCACTGCAGATGCACTTGTATTCATTATAGCGCCTCTACTATGGTGGATTATACTTTGATGGATTTACTAGTATATTATATTTGAAACACGAAGCTAAAGTATGTATGTATGTAATCAGAAGAAGTACATTGGAGAAAAGAAACTAAAGAATGCAGAAAATCTTTTAGTGTTTACACACATCTCATAGGCGGATCCAGAACTTTTCAAAGGGGGTGGGTGGGGGGTGGGGTCAGGAACCCCCTAAACCCCACCTTGGCTCCGCCATTGCAAAACATTAACTTTAATGTGGTCTTTAGTCATTTTCAACAACAAAAAGGGGGGTTGAACCCCATGAACCCCCCCTGTGGATCCGCCACTGCATCTAAGTTTGTGTGATTAAACCTTAGCTACAAGAAAATTAAGTAAAGTTAAGCGCTTGTATTCACAGCCAAACAAAGAACAAATGGTTTTCGAAGTGCATTTTATATATTTTCATCACTCTCTCTGACAGGAAATCTTGGTTATCACAACCCTCTCGTACATTTTCTTGCCTTTCGAAACGACATGGATAGCTAGCTGCATAATATAAATGTCGATGACATGTTGATCGTTGATAACGAACACGTGTACATGTAACGGATCGTGTTGTGCGATACTGTGTGTTTTAAATAGTTTCTGACAAATCAATTCGCATTCGATGAAATAGAGATTCTGTTGGAAGGCACATGGATTGACATTAAAACAACATCAGAAAAAATCGCTATGTCATATGTACAACAGTAGATCTACCCCTCTCCTTCTCTCTATAGTATATACAAGTCATTCGTCCGCTGAAACATGTAGACCAAATAACTCTCGGTATACGTGTTTTTGTTGGTTATCGAGGTTACTTCCCATGTATCGTTTAAGTACACGCACGCAAGCACACGCACGCACGCACGCACGCACACACACACGCACCAGTCAGGACTCTTTCTCATTCACACACATGAAATTACACGCAAACACCAGGAATCTCGAAGTCCATTGTTTCCATCAGAATACCAAAGTCTGACCTCTTGAAGTTACCTTATACTTCAATGTAGCCGGAAGCGGAGTTCGGAGATTTGGGACTAAGACGATGACAGTTCGACGTCTTCGTTGGCATCGCTGCTTTCTTTTTGATTCAATGACAATGCCACCTTGTACACATTACAATCGGTCACATAATGACCCCTTTGTATATGACACCATTACTAGAGCTGAGAAGAAAACCAATAGCTTCCCCCATATATTAACGGACGCCGCTTTGTTACAAGCACATATCGCTGTCTGTGTTATTATGTCTTGTATACGCCAGCTAGAAGATGATAACGTGACCTAACTTCCTTTAATTCTAAACCCAAATCGCACAATAGCACCTAACCTTCAATGTAATATATTGGCGTTCTTTGACCCAGAGGAAATCACCAATATCGGTTGTTCCTTTTAATGCGATTTGCAATTTCCAAACAATATCTTAAGTCATGTGCCGTTACAGATACACTTCTGGCGTATCGCCGTTCTCCACTGGTCGCTTCAGTAGTGCCGTTCCTGCCGCTGCAGCTGCCGCAGCCTTTGCTTTGTTGTGCCTTTGTGGTGGGATAGGGGTAGAGTCTTTCGGAGCAGGGGAATTTAGTTTGGATTCAGCGTCTCTGATCATTTCTTTGAGCTTATGGTTTTCCTCTTGCAAGACCGTGAGCTGGAGCTGATCGTTTTCTCGGCGCACAGACCCCACTGAATTCTGGTTCTTGAGTGTCTTTAACTCATCTTCTAGTGACTTCCGGGACGCAAGTATTTCTGGGTAGAAAAGAGAACATCAGATAAAATAATGAGAGTGTGTGCGAGTGGTTGAGTATGGTGTACGCAGCTTTTAGCAATATTCCAGCAATATCCTGGTGTGGACACCAGAAATGGGCTTCACATACTGTGCCCACGAGGTAATCGAGCCTGGGTCGAGGTGAGGAAAGGACGCTCCAGCTGCTAGGCTACCCCACCGCCCCAGATAAAGTAATGCCAAAATTCAAGTATGACTAGTATACATAACGTAAGCACTTTATATTCAATGAATCTACTCAAAGCCATGAATCCGTTAATGGGAAAAATAATATGTGTTCTTACCTTTCTTCTCCTGATGTGACTTCTCTAGTTGTTCCTTGACGTCGGTCAGTTCCGCCTCCAGTGACTCCTGTACCTCCTGGGCCTCACACAGGCTGTTCTCCAACTGGACCACGCGCACACTCAGCGCGTCCACTGTCTCGTTCAGGGAACTCTGGAAGACACAGACACAATTACAGACAGTCACAGTCACAGACACAGATATACTCAGGGCGTGCACTATCTCGTTCAGGGAAGTCTGGAAGACACAGTCACAGACAGAGGCACAGATATACTCAGGGCGTGTACTGCCTCGTTCAGAGAAGTCTGGAAGACACAGACACAATTACAGACAGTCACAGACAGAGACACAGATATACTCAGGGTGTCCACTATCTCGTTCAGGGAAGTCTGGAAGACACAGACACAATTACAGACAGTCACAGACTGAGACACAGATATGCTCAGGGTGTCCACTATCTCGTTAAGGGAAGTCTGGAAGACACAGTCACAGACAGAGACACAGATATACTCGGGGTATCCACTATCTCGTTCATGGAAGTCTGGAAGACACAGTCACAGACAGAGACACAGATATACTCAGGGCGTGCACTGCCTCGTTCAGTCACCACTCAAACACAAACTACCAATCACTGGTAACAGAGTAACATATGCCCAGGTCTCGATTTGAGCATTGCGAACTTGCACTAGTGCCCGCCTGAAACTACAAAATGAATGACTGTTACTGTTCATCTCATAGAGTTTCTGAAGTAAGATAAAATGATCTCACCAGAACCAGAATAGTTTTGTCATAATGATGTTCTGGAATTATTAATACCACAGTTCAAATATTTTATATATTTTGATATGGAGCAGCATTTGCAACTCGTTATTGCCACAAGGTTATAGTGCAAGGTTGCACTAGGTTCAAGAATATTGTATTTCCTTAAATCGAGCCCTGGATGGAACCACAGTTTGATGCCATCATTACCATGTCAGTTTTCAGATGTGATTTGTAGTCCTCTAGTTCCCCCATGCGCAGCTCAACGCTCATCTCTCGCTTGTTGAGTCGCCACTTCTCGCGTTTGAGAACTCCCACGAGATTTCTGGCTGAATCCAGGCCGTCCCTGAACTGTCTGAGAGTAGAGTCCCGCTCGGCATCTTCACTATCGTCCCCACCATCCTGGAGAAGATGAGTACAGTTGTAGGTGTTGCAGGTGAAGCAGGGCATGTACCAACCGTTTAACAATGGTGCATTTACGTATTAGAAAATACCACTTTGTCATACCCTTAACTCTATAGTCTGGCATAGACCTACATGTGCTCACCTTGACCACAACAGTTGAAATTGATGTTGTATTACAATGTGATAAAAACGAAGTATATCTTACACCAATGTAGTGTCCATGTTATACTGATGTGGTATAATATTGATATAAACGAAGTATATCTTACACCAATGTAGTGTCCATGTAATACTGATGTGGTATAATATTGATATAAACGAAGTATATCTTACACCAATGTAGTGTCCATGCTATACTGATGTGGTATAATATTGATATAAACGAAGTATATCTTACACCAATGTAGTGTCCATGCTATACTGATGTGGTATAATATTGATATAAACGAAGTATAGTATATCTTACATGCATATGTAGTATTGATATAAACGAAGTATATCTTACATGTAGTGTCCATGCATGATGGTATAATATTGATATAAACGAAGTATATCTTACACCAATGTAGTGTCCATGCTATACTGATGTGGTATAATATTGATATAAACGAAGTATATCTTACACCAATGTAGTGTCCATGCAATACTGATGTGGTATAATATTGATATAAACGAAGTATATCTTACACCAATTCAGTGTCCATGCTATACTGATGTGGTATAATATTGATATAAACGAAGTATATCTTACACAGATGCTGTATCCATGCATTACTGGTGTGGTATAATATTGATATAAACGAAGAATATCTTACATCGAAGGTAATAAAATCACCGGCTCGAGCCGTAGATGCATCCAGGGTATAGTGGAAATTTATCGGAACGTATACCCTGGAGATTGACGAGCATGGCTAAGAATATGATATGCAAGAAATGTATCTTAAGCTGGATATGCAAGAAATGCATCTGAACGAAAATCTAGGCCCTGGTGTGGTGCACCGGGGATACTATACAAGCAATGTGCACTGATAAGGCATGTGGCTGTTTTGTATATTTTTCATGAATGCACACGGTGACCAAGCATTGTCAACTATATACTACGGCGAAAGGAGTATTGGCGTGAGACAATGCATTTTTGTGACTACATATTCTACTAAGAGCTCTGTATGATGAGGTTGATATGCAAGCGCAAGTGCATTAATATAGGCAACTGAACATTGATGGCTAGGCAGAGAATAGGCTAGAAAGCTGTTGTCAGATACTGACGGAAAGCACACATATGAATACGCTGAGTAATAAAGAAGAATAGATCAAATAAATGGATGCTTTTCAGTTAACCATGGATTTAGTATGTGATCATGGAAATCTCATCCATACGAGAAATGTTAAGTTTACGGGAATGAAAATATGTTTAAAATGTATTGAAAGACATGATAAATGAAACATGGTTAGTTAAAATCCTAAACATTCTACACATTTGTTGTGCCTAAACATATAGAATGGGCAATCTTCTCACATGCTATAACAAGTTGTAAATATACAGTTAGTGGTTACGTACATTATAATAACTATATTGAATCTCATATCAGCAGGAAGTGACACCAAGTATATACATATAGTCAAACACACACACACACAGGCATAGAATGCGAATCAAGTGCAGAATGCGCATGCGCTCATTATATACATGCACATAGAATACCTCGTTCTCTGTGACGTCACGCTCTTTCGGGTCTTGCTGGAAAAGGATGCCAGAACTTGTTTACACTTTCAGAGGCACGGTATAACAAATCAAGGAAAACAATGGTTTGGGCTGACAGCTTCCTATGGGAGGAAAACCCTAACTGACTCCGGCATTGGACATACAACCATAGTGACTACATAGGCATCGATCTCGTGCTGGTAAACCAATAATTACATGCAGCGTGAACCAGAGTTTTTAACACAAAAAAACAGATAAGCAAATCCTGTCAGCTAACTTTAAAGAAGACGCCTTAGACCACTCTAACCACACACGCACACACACACCTCCCCCGACTTCTCCACCAACAATATACTGTTTTCATTCACACTCATACATAGCTGAAATTAAGAGGTGGTGAATTAGTAAATGTATGGCAATGACGTGGGTGGTGGGAATGAACCGGAAGGTATGAAAAGTGTGTCAGACGGCTGGAGACACGGAATGGGCATATCGGTATATAGGGAGAGTGGTATTGTGAGGGCCTCTTGACATTCTCGACACATGTGGGACACATTCTCAAGACTTCTCATACAATTTGGATTGAATCTTGTATTCAAGCGTTGTGTCAACTGAAGGGGTTGTTGGGTTATCGAAGTAGGGTACGAGGGTCCATTGTGACATATTTACTAATATCACCTAGTGTCTAATACTGGTTTTCGCCTCTATAGTAATACATTATTTAACACCCGTCCTCTAGCCTTGTTGACAGCCATGCTCTACCTCGGTGATATGTCAGTATGTCTGATCGCGTGATAGAGCTGACGTTGCTGACGTTAATAAGACGGGTTAATGTCGAAAACAGACGTTAGAATGAATTTATGAGACATATTATACAATATCAGCAAAAGAACTGTCTTAATGAAAATTAGCAAAATGACAATGGTACAGATTATATATGTATATGAATTAAAAGTCTGATACTAAATACGTAGCGATATGTATGAGTGGAGTGAGTGAGTGAATGGACTATTACGTCGCGTTTAGCTATATTCCAGCATTATCCCGCCAGAAATTGGCGTCACACGTTCTAGTCACGTGGGGAATCGAACCTAGGTTTTCGGCGTGACGAGCCAACGCTTTAACCATTGGGCTATTGAATAGTGGTCGTGTTTTCAAAGTTCATACCGTATAATGGAATTCTAAATGCACGTATACTACCGTATATACTGATAGCTCACCAAGATATGTAGACGTAATTAATACAAATTTCCGACATTTTATGATAATATATTGAGTGAGTAAATTGGGTTTTACGCCGCTTTTGGCAATATTCCCGCAATATCATGGCCGGGAACCCTAGAAATGGGCTTCACACATTGTACCCATGATAATATATAGACAGAATAGATATTATTAACATATTATTAAAGACCACAGACGTCACGTGTAGTATCCTGACAGACACTGTTTACATACCGTCAGTGACCGATTTCATTTTTGATAAATATTATCCCGTAGTTGGGGGAAATTCTGCTGATTGAACATAAATCATTAACCGAATAGACCCTGTTCACAAAGAAACCTTAGTTCTCCGACTATCGCAAATCTATATGCTTAGTAAGACACAGTCGACTGTATCAGGTTCCCTGGCGACTGGAATGTAAGCCTGTCCGCCACACTGATAAGGACAACCTACAGCTTGAACGTAAGTATATCAAAGATGGGATTTGTCAGTCAGATCTGGTTTGTCCACATTCCTCCATCGAGCAGTGAAAACCGACTTGGGAGATGCAAACAAACATGGTCAGTGCAAGAGAATAACCAGTCTTGGTTATACCAGTGAGTGAGTTTGGGTTTACGTCACTTTTAGCAATATTCCAGCAATATCACGACAGGGGACACCAGAAATGGGCTTCACACATTGTACCCTTGTGGGACATCGAACCCGGGTCTTCGGCGTGACGAGCTAACGCTTTAACCACTAGGCTACATCATCGCCCCTGATTATAGGAGTAAAAGTAAATCTAATCATCTAAACTTCAACCATTATCAGTCAAGGTGATGTAGATGAAATTGTACCGTCTCGACATACAAGATACATTGCAAGGCAATGACAAGTGCGAAGTCGGATTGTTTTAAACAAATAATTAATTGACTCGCACCTTTCTTAGTAGATATACCGAAAACGCAATGGATTTCGACATCGTCGTACACGTTGAAAGAACGAGACGACAGTATTTAGTCAAGTCCCATGCGCACAAAACTGTTTTACATGCACCGATGGCCTTGAGTTCTGTACGTCGCTGCCATCTACGCAGAGTTACTGTCCTTTGCTGTGTCAGTATCCGAAAAACCATAACCATGTTCGATGGTCACAGCAAAGTGTGACGTTGGGCTTTCCTCCACAATAACGCCTACAACTGAAATACCGCCTCGAACAAGGTTAACCAAACTCACTCACTCATTTGTAACAGTGTAGCATGACTTGGTAACACTGATCAGCCTAGAGCAGGCCGCTGGTATGCTGGTAACCGATATCCACACACTGCTTGTTGGGGGAGCTGATGCCTATCTCCGTGAGGCTATGGCTGCGTGACGTCAAACACGACACAGTAGGTGTACAATTTGAGCATGAGCTGAATATCGCCTGCATTAGATGTCTGTTTTACATGCCACCATCTTGTACATTACACTCACAGTTGGTGGAATAGCCCCGTGACTACAGCATTCACTCGAGAGGTCGGGTTCGATTTTTGCAACTTTAGAGACCGCTCGTATGGGGGTGATGATGATTTTTATGGAGAAGCACGTACAATGTAAAAAATCAGTGACACTCCCTCCTTTCCCATAATTTTAACCCATAACTTTTACAGATTTTTATGTACAAAACTGCTGATCTCCCAAGTTCATGTGTACAAAATTGATGACCCCCATTATCAATGAAGATCGCAGACAAAAACGACGGTAGTATTAGGTCCAGGATACTACGATGTGACACAGACCTGTACTAACGTCAGTTATAGGATCAACCTTGACATACCTTGATGTATTCATCTTCTGTCTCTGTGAACCATGAGTACATACCTTGATATATTTACCCTGTATCTCTCTGAACCATGAGTACATACCTTGATGTATTCATCTTCTGTCTCTGTGAACCCTGAGTACATACCTTGATGTATTTATCCTCTATCTCTGTGAACCATGAGTACATACCTTGATATATTCATCTTCTGTCTCTGTGAACCATGAGTACATACATTGATGTATTCATCTTCTGTCTCTGTGAACCATGAGTACATACCTTGATGTATTCATCTTCTGTCTCTGTGAACCCTGAGTACATACCTTGATGTATTTATCCTCTATCTCTGTGAACCATGAGTACATACCTTGATATATTTATCCTCTATCTCTGTGAACCATGAGTACATACCTTGATGTATTTATCCTCTATCTCTGTGAACCATGAGTACATACCTTGATATATTTATCCTCTATCTCTGTGAACCATGAGTACATACCTTGATGTATTTATCTTCTATCTCTGTGAACCATGAGTACATACCTTGATATATTTATCCATTATCTCTGTGAACCCTGAGTACATACCTTGATATATTTATCTTCTATCTCTGTGAACCATGAGTACATACCTTGATATATTTATCCTCTATCTCTGTGAACCCTGAGTACATACCTTGATATATTTATCCTCTATCTCTGTGAACCATGAGTACATACCTTGATATATTTATCTTCTATCTCTGTGAACCATGAGTACATACCTTGATATATTTATCCTCTATCTCTGTGAACCCTGAGTACATACCTTGATATATTTATCTTCTATCTCTGTGAACCCTGAGTACATACCTTGATATATTTATCCTGTATCTCTGTGAACCCTGAGTACATACCTTGATATATTTATCCTCTATCTCTGTGAGAAGGTCTGAGACATCCTCCAGCTTCTCCAGGAGATCCTCCGCAGTGTCCATTAAGTTCTCACTTCGGCGCCGGCTCCAGTCCATGAATGAGGGGACAGTCGCCATCTTGGAGCTAGGAGTCTGCAACACAACGTGGTAACATCTAGAACTGCCTCGTCTGGAAGTTGATACTAGCGACACACAGGTCAGGCTGGCATTCTGTTGCCGCTTGAGAACTAGGTTACATGCAGGTTCTGTTACTTTAAAGGAAATGGAAAACCACATGTTGCCAGACTCCACGTTCTATTACAAGAAGATTTGTTTTCATATTTAACAAGGTTTAAAATCAAACAAATTCATAAAACTTAATTACGAATGCAATGAATGCCTGGTGGGACAATGGAAAAAATCTCGATTTAACCTTAGTTGGAGTCAAGCAGAGTGTCAGTGTTTTGTTTAACTTACCATGAGGAATCTACCTGTACAATAAAATTGTTTCCGCTTAGACGAAACCCCAAGTTATTAAAACCGATGACAAACAGAGTGTTGCTGTTAGATCACACTAAATACGGTGAATCACCGCAATAATGACATTACTTCGCCTTAAACGTTATGTCGAGTTATTAGAGTTCGAGACAAGCAGAACGCCAGTGCTAGATCACATTAAATGTGAGGAATCATTTCGATGATAACGCTACTTCGCCTTAAACGCCATGTCGATGATAACGCTACGCCAGTTCGCCTTAAACGCCATGTCGAGTTATTAGAGTTCGAGACAAACAGAACGCCAGTACTAGATCACATTAAATGTGAGGAATCACGGCGATAACACATTAAATGTGAGGAATCACGGAACGCCAGTACGATGAGGAATCACGGCGATGATAACGCTACTTCGCCTTTAACGCCATGTCGAGTTATTAGAGTTCGAGACAAACAGAACGCCAGTGCTAGATCACATTAAATGTGAGGAATCACGGCGATGATAACGCTACTTCGCCTTGAACGCCATGTCGAGTTATTCGAGTTCGAGACAAACAGAACGCCAGTGCTAGATCACATTAAACATGAGGAATCACGGCGATGATAACGCTACTTCGCCTTAAACGCCATGTCGAGTTATTCGAGTTCGAGACAAACAGAACGCCAGTGCTAGATCACATTAAATGTGAGGAATCACGGCGATGATAACGCTACTTCGCCTTAAACGCCATGTCGAGTTATTAGAGTTCGAGACAAACAGAACGCCAGTGCTAGATCACATTAAATGTGAGGAATCACGGCGATGATAACGCTACTTCGCCTTGAACGCCATGTCGAGTTATTCGAGTTCGAGACAAACAGAACGCCAGTACTAGATCACATTAAATGCCGGCGATGATAACGCTACTTCGCCTTGAACGCCATGTCGAGTTATTCGAGTTCGAGACAAACAGAACGCCAGTGCTAGATCACATTAAATGTGAGGAATCACGGCGATGATAACGCTACTTCGCCTTGAACGCCATGTCGAGTTATTCGAGTTCGAGACAAACAGAACGCCAGTACTAGATCACATTAAATGTGAGGAATCACGGCGATGATAACGCTACTTCGCCTTGAACGCCATGTCGAGTTATTCGAGTTCGAGACAAACAGAACGCCAGTACTAGATCACATTAAATGTGAGGAATCACGGCGATGATAACGCTACTTCGCCTTAAACGCCATACAGAGACAAGCAGAGTGCCGATAATGGGTCATATTACAGGACTTATAACCTCACTTTGTAAACGCGAGATATTGCACAAATACACGCACAGACATTAAAATATACATATTACTTGTGCCTTAATTTAATCATACACCATTTACTACTATATGATATCTGATGTCAGTCGGGTTGTACACATTATTAGTTTCTCTGTCTCGTTGTCTCTGATAAACATCGAAATCAGACAGATTCCAGAAATATGACAAATATTATGTGAGGATTAATCAGTCTATTGATAAATGAGAGCTGCGAGATCAAGAAAATGTTTGTCTGGGAGAAGCGTTATCTTTCATAGTCAGCAATAAAATCATGCCACGTCTTTGTATCTTATCACACATCTCTATGTGAATTAAAGATTATTCGGAAATTAGGGAAATGATGCGTGTCATATGTCACAGGTGAAAGGTTAAGTGTCGCCTACGGGACAAAGCGAGATTTGAATCTACATATAACGAGAGTTAATATTAACGGCAATGCGGTCGCTCACCATTGATTACAATCTCCGCCGTGATGGTCATTGAAGATGCAATAAGATAACGAGCTGAAGATCTACAGGAGAGAATTGATTGTATATTTATTTGTTTGTTTTGAACACATCGTAATTGACAAAACAGATGTGTCTGATTAAGAAAGGCGACACATTGCCTTCTGTTTGTCTCCCAACGGGGTCCACACTCACAAGGCTGAGAGAGAGTTAGTTACGTGTGTAAAACACGTTCGTGACATGTTTCAATGATGCAAAAATATGAATTTAAAATAGGTATGTTATTATGGCATTATATATACTAAATGCAAAAGGTTAAGGGCCATTGTTATTTCAGAGCAGGGTTTTCTGATGTAGTGAAGACAGTAAAATACTGTTTCATAAAAATATCACAAGAAATGTTCATGAGCCTATCTTTTATGTTCAGTAAATGTCAGTGTGCATAAGCCGGAAGTTCTTGTAAACTAAATTTCTAATTTCATAAGGCATGAATTTTATTCAAGAATATATAATGACCTTTTCAGCATTTACACAGGCCTCTGTATAATGAAATGTGCAGTTTCCGTGTATCACATGCCACCCATACACCAGGCAATATTAAGCAACGTGATGTGGAGTTGTATAAACGTCGATACTGATGTCTCCTCCGGGAATGTAAAACCGAATGTATGTTGAATTCAGAATAATATTTGCATATCATTACAGCTGTACCGTAAAAGCTGAAATGCCCATGCCTGATGCTTGACGAATGAGAATTGCACGTCATAGACTCCCATTTCTCAGTCCTGCAGTCTTGCGTGACGATTTGACAAGGCCGACAGGAAGATGGCGCTATTCTGGACAAATATGTCTTTTTATGGTGATAAAGTTAAGTCATAAATAGCAATAAATGACAATTGGTCTTCCGTTATACGCATAGCGATTGTTGCCATTGACGATGACTGAGGCAAGAGAGAGCAGAATGTTTTTTGATCCAAAATATGTGCCCTAAATATATGTATGGAACATGAATCAATAGGAATATTTATGATATGCAAAATGTAGACGGTAAGCTTCGTGGTTACACTTATGGAGAGAAACTGTATGGAGACCGGTAACCTTGTTTGGGTTGGGAGCATGAGCGTAAACAGGGGCAGCTGACTGTGAAGGGAACAAAACGTTGAGCCAGCTGAATGATGACATAGAGTGAGTGAGTGAGTTAAAATTTAAAGTCACATCGGCAGTATTGTGACTATGAAAGTTGTAAATTTGTAAATGTATACATGAAATAAAAACAAACTTATATACTTACCTGTCTGCGAAGGACAGTAAAATAACTAGTCTATCACAGATGTACACTTAAAACTAGCATATAACCATGAAACACTATTTCTAACTTTAACGGTACAATATAAAATGGTCTATAGATTGCCAGCAGCTGAAGGTAGATCACCATACTAGGGACCATGGGGACTTACAGTGCATTTGCTTCCTGCATGGAGATGACATATAGCAATGAGACATGTTCTTCTTGACCCACAACCATGTTTGGGTTAGGGTGGATGAGTGTTAAGTGGGGCCGCGGACTGTGAAGAGAAGAAAGCGTTGATCCAGCTGAATGATGAAATATGGCCATGATACACCGTCTACTTCGTAACCTACATTATACATAATCATCTCGGCCACTTTTAATACTCACACCGCTTGTTTTTACCCAATGTCATTCCCTGCCCTGTTTAGTTGTCGCATTACCTCATTCAACAAGTTACAGATACGCTGGACATTATTCATCAAGTGACTGCAATGTAAGGTGACTTTAACCATAGAAACTGGACTTTAAGGGTTTGATTGGTGTGGGCATACCTCTGGTTTGTCCCAAAACTCTACACCTAAACATGTTTAAGAAATACATGTTGCTAAGCCCTGCATGTGTAGTGTAATAAAGCAGTTTCATCCTGAAAGCGGACGCATAATAGACATCTCATAGACAATATTTATATACATTTCTAAGATGCTTCGGTGAAAGATCAAAGGCACCGACAGTACATTTTCAGATGATAATGTACACATTTTGCATTATGTCACAATGTATTAGCCTCATTGAGTGTGTACACGTCTTTGTCTGGATGTAATAATAATAATGATAATAATGTATTTATAAAGCGCCTCATATCCACCGTAGAGATGCTCAGTGGAGCTGATCTAAACTTACGGTGGTAGTAGAAATGGCGACGTTCACATTGTTTCATATGGTTTGCGTTAAACACAGATGTAATCAAAATAAGTTAGAGAAGATATTTAACCCGAACGTAAGCCGTCATCAAACTGTTCATCATTTGTTTTTCTGGTAACGTGCACCTTAACGTGGTGTGTGTGTTCGCGCGTGCGTGTGCGCGTCAATAGAACAGCGCGTCAGTTAGCCCTGAACGAGAATTGTTAATTTAGGTCACCGACTTCATCGCTTTTCTGTTTGTTTTCTGCCTTAGATTTATCGTCGTTAAGTATTAAATTTGGCATCTTAGAAAATAAATACAATTCGCTCTACCACCATGTATAGTGTAATAAAGCACACTTTCGCCCTGACCTTTCATAACGTTAAGGCCCTCGTACACAAGGATGCGCGATTCCTTATATGTAAGTTTGCCTTCGAATACCTGTATTTTGATGCTTTATGTTAAAGCTCTTTGGTAACTTTTGAATGCAAGAGTTTTAATGTAGGTTTGTGTTTATCGAACACAAAGAAAGCTCACGTATCCCATCAATACACCATGCATCTCCATGCCAATGTACTGTTATTCTTCCTGTAGCTTGATACTGCATTGTTTACATCATTCGATGACACCCATACAATCTACATTGTGTGTCACATTAGCCTGCATGTGTGTATTGTACGTGTCACACACCAATGTATGTCTGTACGTACTGACAACACAGAGGTGAGACAGGGAGCAGTTCTCTCCCCACGTGGTTTATTCTCGTATCACCCGGGGCTATACTTCATCCATGCTATAATAAAAATACTCCTTCTCTACTGGGCTGACCATGTAAACAGGAGACGTTTTGAAATGACAAAAATGTATGCACACTGCACAGAATATAATTCATAATGCAGAACGTCAGTGCAAAAGAATACCCAGTCTTGACTATCCTCAGAACACATTCCGTTTGTGGAAATTGGAAAAATGACTGTGAAAATTATCTGAATACTATGGATCACTGAAAATCAGTGATGACACCAGGTGTTCGCGAATGAACGAAAGTGAGAATACATATATTACATCCCTGTAGAAAACATACACGCCCTGCCCTGTCTATGATTTCTCTGTGTGGCGAAGGGGTGTATGCTCGTTGTGTTTAACCTACGAAGGGTATTTGCCTCAAGCTCTGCAGTATCAGTACGTGCAATTTCAAGTATATAGTAATGAAACTACCGGACAAAACGAAGTACACACGCTTGTTTTTTGGTGGTTAAAATGAAACAGTGAGTGAGTGAGTGAGTTTAGTTTTACGTCGTACTCAGCAATATTCCAGCTATAAATGGTGGCGGTCTGTAAATTATCGAGTCGGGACCAGACAATCCAGTGATCAACAGCATCAGTATCGATCTACGCAACTGGGATACGATGACGTGTGGCAAACAAGTCAGTTAGCCTGACCACCAAATCATGTTTAGTCGCCTCTTACGACAAGCATGGGTTACTGAAGCCCAATGCTAACCCGGATCTTCACGGGTTAAAATGAAACCAGAAGGAAATGGTTATTTGATGATGATGTTTTAGTTACTGACATCAAAATTATGTATTTCAACTTATGTTTACAGTGTTTCAGCGATTCTTTTAGTTTAGTAACCTTTGGGTTATTTTAGTGTATAGTTCAAGGGTATGCTTTCTTTAAAATACGTTATATAGCGATTTCGTAACTATAAACTAAAATATGAAGAACAAGTCAATAAGTTAAAAGGGTAGTATTTACATCCATATACACAAAGATCTTAGTTAAGCACCCCCTGACATATCTCACGATTGAATGAGCCCTAATCTTAACCCTTTGGAGCATATCTGGGACATGACTGGTCATCGTGTGTAACAAAGGGATCCTCCTGCACAGAACCTGGCCCAATGTTGGAAGCTGCTTTACACGAGGAATAGTGTAGACTGTCCCTTCACAGGATCAGGAGGCTGACAAGGGGTATGAGGAGGAGAGTTATACTCGGTATTGACCTTGAATAGTGTAAGAAATGCAAAATTGCATTTTGAATGTTCATATTCACCAACAAATTCAACATTAAACATTCCAGGGCCATACTTGTACAGACATGGTTTTGTATGAAAATCAGTGGGGATTTTTTGTTTGTAAAATGAGCAAGTGTCATCATAAAATCAACATGGATTCCAATCATTTTGTCGTTCTGTATGAGTCATAGGATCATACGGGTTAGAAAAACTCATGTTTTTCCATGGTGGTCACCACGAGAGGTTTTATGTACGTGTTGAAAACCTATCATTGCAAAAATACAGGGGGTGCTTAATTAAGTTCTTTGTGTATAGGTTAGTGAATATTAGATATATTTCAGCTGAAGACGCTTGTTGCAGTAACTGAATTCTCTCCGCTAACTCAAGAAAAATGTCAATAACATCAACATCAAATAACATCAAGGTGATAACAGGCATCATAACCGCAGTGTATTCCATCACATCACCCCGTGAATCCGCTGTACACATGACCTCTTTCCCCTAGTGTCACTCATTCCAGGGCACAGTTGGAGATGGTCTTAGCTTAATCCCGACACTGTCAGCACCGCAAATAAAGGAAGAAAACAAGACCAGTCTCTAGGTTTAGCTGTCAGAGCGTAGTCAGCCTACGAGGAAACGGGTCATGTTATATAGTGCATATCAAGGCATTCATCATCACCACGAGGTGAATGTATGTGCAACGAGTTGTTAGCGGTATGATTTGAAAGCGCGACCGTGGATGATTGATGTGTATATAGTATACATATCAACCGTGACAACCGGACGTTTTGCTATTATATATTCTGCTCGAATATGAAAACTAATACATTACGTCTATATATCCTTGGTGTCCGTGTATTATAAACTGTCAATCATCAATGTTTAGATAAATGCCTATTGTACCTAAGCCGGTGAAAGGCGACCCCAACGTGTGTTTATGCTTGATACTCGCGTCATTGAAGCTTTAAACTCTCCGTGGAAGTAATGATTTATGGTATAAGACGGAGGCGGGTCGAAGGTGCCTATTCAAATAATAGTACTACAAGCTGTCACGTATAAGGTCAGATATAATACGTGTGAGAAATCAATACTTATTTGTAAATTGATTTGGGGATTATTACTTGTTTGTGAAGTTACTGGGCTATAAAGTATCCCATATTGCACATTGTATGGGAAACACAGCCATACTGTAATGTTGTCAAGATTTCTTTTGAAATGCACAGTTTGAACAGCTGAGGTTTCCGGTTACTGGCATTTTTTGAAAATTAATACACTGGGGAACCGATTTGACGTTTTTGCGAAAAGTGACTACATCAAATTACAGAATCTATTCTGTGTCGAGAAACAGTCAAGAATCGTGAGGTACATGTATATGGTTTATAATCGAGGCAAATGTGAATAATCCAGGAAGTTCCTACAGAAAAGAAATATGATGGATTTCAAAACGGAAAAAGACTAATTGCAGTAACGACTATGATAATGTGTTTGATCTAAAGAAGTGCGCAATGTTTCTCAAAATAAAAATTGGGAACGAGCCATGCTGAACGCCATGATGGTGCCTGGAGGTGACAGATAGCTGGATTAGGTTGCAGTGCAAGGGAAGGAACATGCGATGTGAAGTGATGAAGGCAGCGCCTCTAGGTAGGGCGGGAAAACGGGGAGATCACTTGAGGCATTGTCATGCGATTACGCGTCATTTATTAATTGATGTGACACAATGCGTCTGATTCATAGGTATGCCTGCACTTAATCATACGCACATCACTCATTATGAAATCATTGTCATTTGAATACCAATGTAATACACCTGACACCTGTCGATTATGTTACTGCATAAAGGGATTATACACGTATATTATGGATACTGTCAATGACATGGTTTATGGTTTTGGTTAACGCTGCACTCACGAGTATTCTAGCCGTAGACGGCGGCCTTGTTACAATCAATCATGGGTCACGTCGTGGGGTAGGATGACCACGTCTCCAGGAATATACCCGTCTATGAGGTCGCATCTTTCGATAAGCATATGTTCCTGAACCCTATTCTACATCGATGTCCGAGTTCAGAGTGAGTGAGTGAGTTTTACGCCGCTTTTAGCAATATTCCAGCAAGATCTCGGCGGGGGACACCAGAAATGGGCTTCACGCGTTGTACCCATGTGGGGATCCGGGTCTTCGGCGTTACGAGCGACCGCTTTAACCACTAGGCTACCCTACCGCCCCCGAGTTCCGAAGAGATATACACCGTACACTACCATGATAATGAACACGCGTATAACGAACTGACAGATATAACGATAAGTTCTTTGTCCCGAACAACTTGCTGGACATTTTACTCGAACGAACTGCGGTTATAACGAACTAAACTTCATAGTCCTTTGACTTCGTCATTACCGTACTTACTGCATGTTGACTGTTATGAGCGCTGCACGTAACACTATACTGACTATACACATGACAACACCGGGTGTTTAAACTGGCCCCCAGCAACCTATAGTGGCCATAACACCAAATGGATAAGCGATCATCTCAGTGACATAGTTGATAGCATGTCATCGTTCCCCGACGGTGTAGATCTTTGTCCACAATATCAGATTGGCTGGTCCAGATTCGATAATATACAGGCTGCCCTACTAGAAGGTATATGGCTCAACAAACAGCACACACAAACGAAATGACAGCCTATCTCACGTATACCATCAAACGTACATGTATTTCATACCTCTTCTCCACTGCAACGAGTCTCATCTGTTGCATGTTTCCTTTATTTTGTATTCATAATATGTATGTTTCCCCATATTCCCTCAGTTAGGTATATATTCCCTCAGTTAGGTGTGCGCCCTGTTAATTGCATAACTACCCAATTCATATCCTTCTCTCATTGATCCGAAGTTAAAAGGACATCCGGGTGTAAAGAATTGTTCGTGTGTACAAAGTATAGCTTGACACAAGAGTTGTGTCCGTATCATTACAGCCGATTATTATTACAGGGGATTGTGCAATATTGAAGTATGGTTATATACGATACATCGATTGGATGGAGTTAAAGAGATATAACGTGTGCGAGTATTAATCTGTATCTTAAAAACTATATTCTACTTATTGACTTCGAATTACCGAGAAATAACCGTTAACGAGTGTGTGTCAGTGTCTTAAACACTATATCCTATTTATCGTGTTCGAGTATAATCGTAAACGCAATGTTCAATGAGAAAGGTTCCAGTTTTTGCTATATATACGTCTACAGCGGCTGCAGGCAATTCTGGTCGCCCTGTTACGGGATACTTAAGCTGTAATGAATGCCATGATTAATGTGTTAGTGCTGATTTGTGGTCGTGTTGTGAACGCCTGTAGTCTCTCCGTTTATCCGTGACGTCTCCGACCTCGTCAACAACGGCACCGACTTTACGGTCTCAGTGGTTAATAGTCACTTACAGGCCACTTGATATTGGACGAAGATGTCCATTATCTCTACATGCCGTTCATTAGAAAGTGAAATATGTAAATAAATGCGCATACATTTATCACTAAACAACTTCCATTTTCAGAACTTTCAGAACAACCAGAAATATAAACATGGACACAAGCATACAAGCATACGCCTGTCTTTATATAAAAGATGGAGTCTAGAAATCCTTCTTGGAATAATATTATTGATAGCATATATATATATATATATTTCTGGTTGTTGCAATATCAAGTTCTGATATGTAAAAAAGTCCAGTCCAGTTATTCATTCTTGTCAAAACTCATTTATATATATATGGACACAAACGTTTCATAGAAAACTTTTTTGATATCAATAAATCAAGGTCGCGTTTATAGCATGTAATGAGCATTTATATTTCATGAGTCTTTAAGCCACGTCTACAACATGCAACATTTACACGTACATCCATGATATGCTTGTAGCAAGAGGTGGACACACGATTGGTAAAAAATTCTGCATGTTATTGGCCAAACACCCTTTTGATGATGGAGCAACTATGTTTTAGTCAAATATGAAAGATTACTTGTGCACGGAGTAAAGTGAATTTAATTGATTAGGAAATTTATTAGGGCTTTGACGTAGAGTGGACGTTAAACATATTGTAACTGCAAACTGTGCCTCATGTCAATATATGAGCCCCAAGACAGTACCCGTCTGTGTGAGGGGGTTTCTCATTCATTGGGCTGCATTTGCCCAGGAGTTAGTTGGATGTTGTTAAGCGTTAAACACTGTCAGGGCAGCCATTATATCAGTTTGTTCCCTGTAAGCCCGATCACACGACCCACACCACGAGGAAGTCGGTGAGTCCCTGAAGCGCGCCATTTTAGAGGTTTATTACCGTGGGATTGTCGTGAATTCACACTTTTCGATATTTTCAACCGTCATAAACAATTAAAGGAACCATATTTTATATTGGTACAAATTCAATGTAATGTCTAACAAACATACGGAGAAAAGAAGTGTAGCTGGTTTAAATAGTATTGCTGGAAATAATATGACGGTAGTTTAAGTGAACTGGCATTCTCCGCTACAGTCAGATGAACATACCTGGTAGGTCAATACGTTGATGTAGAGGTGCAGGTAGGGATCACAGCATACAGTACGAGCGTCAACAGGTACAGTCAGCCAGGTTTGATAGTCGAGGCGACTAGATCTGCTACCCCCTCCAGGTACAAGGAAATACTACACACTATACGTAACACAAGCGTCCGCCTCAGTTCACGCACTGCAGTCTGGGAAATCAGACGTCCGCGTCCGTTGACCGTATGACAGGTCAGCAGCTGTGGATGAGGATTGACATCTTTATTGTTGTTACAGATCTAGTGACACAAAAAATACAAGTAACGTTTTTATTACAGTTGTATAATTATACAGACGATATGTTGACGAGGCGGGTGTGGTTGCACAGTGGGTTAGGTTGATGCTTTAAGCTCTAGGGTTCGAATTTCGATTAAACGTGTTAATCATGAGGTCTAGCAGCTCAAATTAAGTTACCGTGAATTTGTGTAGAGTGATTTTGCAATCCGGCTGCACACAATTTTCATTAAAGTGAAGCTTTTCCCCGTGCTACATGTTTCCCGAGGACAGTGATGTATCTGGGCAGCAAAAGTCGTTACACGGAGTTGTTTTGTAGCAGTCGATCACCTCGGCCCGGGGCATAAGGGGGACAAACAGATGAAGAAAGAGACGAAGGTCGCCCTCACTGGACCGACGAGGTGATGACGTCTGCCCAGAATGCGAGACGCGCGGCAGACGACTGTTCCAGAGTCCCACTATCGCCGTCACCTAGAACATTAAGCTGACAGCAGTGTTCGGATTCCATCCCACGTTCAATGTGTTTGAAAAGTGCATTCGTGTCTTTCAGCAATAGCGACCTCCCTTCAACAACCTGTTCAATGACACTAAGCCCTCGGAGCATCAGTTTCTACCTCTGTCTATTTTGGGACTTCCGTGCCATACTCTCCACCTCATCAGTTAAAGTGTGTATTAATAAAATACACCCGCAACATTAACAAGCGTGTGAATGAATATTGATATACGCCGCAGCCCGCAGTATCCAAGCTTTATATAAAGCGTGTATTAAACTGTGTATTAATGAAATACACCCGCGACATTATCAAGCGTGTGAGTGAATAATGACTTACGCCGCAGCCCGCAGTGTCTAAGCTTTATATAAAGCGACGGATAGTTAAGGAGCGTGTGTCAAATAAGGGGCCGTTCATAATCTATGTTCGTTCGTCATTCACACTGTACATGCTTCTCCATAAAATGCATCAACACCCATCATCCCCCCTCTACATTATGAACGTTCCCTAAGAACACAAACATCACCGGTCACCGCTGCATAGGGACAAGGTGCACATAATCAGCTCTCTCACTGTAATCCCTGATATCAAATTCAGTCTTCTCTTGCGACAAGTATGCGCTGTGGAAATGTGTTCAGATATTTAACACATGCAAAACGCGTTAAGCTCTAAACGAAATAAGGATTTTTAAAAATCCTGAAGCAGAACGAAGATTTTGCGTGTTATATCTGAAAACATGAAATGGATTAAGATCTCACTGCAAACTCCTATCTGTAAAATTTAAACATAGTCTAAATGTGTTTAAAAGTTAAACATGTTCATGAAAAAGCGAGTGAACCTGAAGTCAGACACTTTAGTTCAAGCAGAGCTATTGTTGTACTAGTCAGTATGTTTAATTCATAAATCCCATGAGTGGGTGAGTGTTAGGGGTAACACCGCTGGAAACCCTCGTGTCATCGGGGCACATAGAGAAAGGCTGATTGTTTTATACCAGACATTCCACATGAGTCGATAAAAGTTCAATGCACAGAGGTTTACAGCGGCGTTTTCAACTTACTTCAAAAAGTGTTGATATGTTTGATTTCAAAGGACATACCAGTCAGATCCTACATAATCATCCCAAAATATTGTTTCAGATATTCAGTTTGTAAACAGTATCAAGCCATATCTTAAGTGTGAAAAGAACAGCCAGACAGCTTCTGTGCCAACGCGATTAGTTTGGTTTCGTTTGTTTGTTGTTGAACGCCGTACTGAACAATATTCCAGCTACATGGCGGCGGTCTGTCAATAATCAAGTCTGGACCAGACAATCCAGTGATCAACAGCATGAGCACTGATCCACGCAATTGGAATATGATGACATGTGTCAATCAAATCAGCGAGCCAGACCAAACGATTCCGTTAGTTGCCTCTTACGACAACCACGGGTTGCCGAAAACCAATTCTAACAAGGATCTTCACGGGTTGCCAACGCGATTAGCAATGTCTTTGTTAGTAATGGATGACACTGCAATGATCTGCAAAGCACTGGGCTGCAGCTGCTGGCTACCTCACAGACCGGGAAGTACCTGATGTTGATGCTGTAGGATGCTGTAATATATGTGCTAGCCTTCTTTATCGCCGCAGAGCAAATTGTCAATTTTTGTTCAAAGCTTCACAAAATGACAGCAATGAGTTGATATTTATTCTAAACAGGTTGGTTCCAAATACCTTAGATTAAGGACACGTTTAAATTGTAAAAACATGTACAAATATTCAAATGTTAAACAAACTTCTAAACATGTAATATCCGTGCTACTATTAGTATTTAGGATGTAGGCATACGTCTCTGAGACCCATTTTGTGTTGCAGAATTCTAATCTTACATGTTTCTTTAGTTTCATCCCAGATGGGTAGCGCAGTAGTTAAGTGTTTGTTTGCCACGCCACAGGTCCTGGTTTGAAACAGTGCTTGTATGAGCACCTGTTATTTGAACATTCATTGTGTGCTGTTCATGCTCATAAACCTAGAGTTTGTGTGTATCATGGTCCTAATATAGGCGCAGTCATTCAAATTGTGCGCAGTCGGTATAGGTATATACCCTGTATTATTAAACAATATACAATGTGTATCCATTGGTGTGCACATGAGTGTTACACTTGCTAAGATCAGACACCATATAATAGACCTTCTATTGTATGGGCTCTGCTAAGATTTAGAAGAGTTCCAATTTTAAAAGACAAGAAATGTCTAACCCTGACATTGCTATGCACTTAAAACCAGCAACGACGTGACATTCATCGTTTCAGCTCGTCCTGATTTACATTTGTATGACAGCCCAGCAGGACAATAAATCTGGAACAAGACTGACTGACTGACTGAGTTTGGTTTTACGCCGCTTTTAGCAATATTCCAGCAACATCACGAGGGGGACACCAGAAATGGGCTTCACACATTGTGCCCATGTGGGGATTCGAACCCGGGTCTTCGGCGTGACGAGCCAACGCTTTAACCATTAGGCTACACCACCGCCCCTCTGGAACAAGAAAAGTGGGGGATACTTAGTAATAAAAGTCTCTAGTTGTTATGGTAACGACACACTGTCCTGTTGAACTACATTTAACTGTCTGCCTTACGACCCTATGTGTGATACAATATGAGATGGGCGATCAAGGCTTCAGCTTGACTGGTTTTCAAAGAGACGGATATACAAAGGGCGACAACTCCCTTTCTTCCACAATACCAGACACTGTTCAGAATGTTACGTTCGTAAATAATACATCTGGACCAGAGAGCAGTTGAAACAAGATCATTCTACTGAGACTGCGTGCGACCGAGTCTCACGGAAGATCCTACATATCTGCAAAAAAACCACCACCACCCACCACCACCACACACACCATTTCGCGATGTATTTGAATCCACAACAAAGTATTTTATGAGAATAACACAAAGTACCCTATGACAATAAGCCTTTGTCACAACTGCTATCAGTAAACAAGATTCTTTTCACGCAATAAACTCGTCTTATTGTACCGACTGTCATGTTGGGATGTGCTCTTGCATCAGTGCACAAATGCATACACGTCCTTTGTACGTTAATACCAGTCGGGACTATCTAATAGCGGCTGTGCCATAACGCTATTACAGTGAGTGTGGCATGTTTAGTTTATACGCTGCCTTTAGCAATATTCCAGCAATATCTTGGTGGGGGACATCACAAATGGGCTTCACACATTGCAACCATGTGGGAAATCGAACCCGGGTCTACAGCGTGACGCCTTAACACCACTAAGCTAAGTCTTGGTCTAGCGTCATACATCTACATCATGAGTGTTTGTAAGTGAATCCGGACAGGACCAGCAGAACGAGAGGTCGATAATGTAAGCAATAGTCTCCCCCATTACGATACCATGAAACACGAACAATTCACATCAGGACTGAACAGGAGATCCTATAGTTGAAGCGTTCGTTTGTTGCCCCAAATTGTGATTCATCCAACCCCTCACCACTCATTTACTCACTCACTCACTCACCTACTCCCCCATTCATCCACTTACCCATTCTCACCAGTCCATCCACTCACTCACCCGTCCATCCTCTCACTCACCAGTCTATCCACTCACTCACCAGTCCATCCACTCACTCACCAGTCCATCCACTCACTCACCAGTCCATCCTCTCACTCACCAGTCCACCCACTCACTCACCAGTCCATCCTCTCACTCACCAATTCATCCACTCACTCACCAGTCCATCCTCTCACTCACTCACCAGTCCATCCTCTCAATCACCAGTCCATCCTCTCACTCACCAGTCCATCCACTCACTCAACAATCCATCCACTCACTCAACAATCCATCCTCTCACTCACCAGTCCATCCTCTCACTCACCAGTCCATCCTCTCACTCACCAGTCCATCCTCTCACTCACCAGTCCATCCACTCACTCAACAATCCATCCACTCACTCAACAATCCATCCTCTCACTCACCAGTCCATCCTCTCACTCACCAATCCATCCACTTACTCACCAGTTCATCCTCTCACTCACTCACCAGTCCACCCACTCACTCGCCAGTCCATCCTCTCACTCACCAATCCATCCACTCACTCACCAATCCATCCACTCACTCACTCACCAGTCCACTCACTCACTCACTCACCAGTCCATCCTCTGACTCACCAATCCATCCTCTCACTCACCAGTCCATCCTCTCACTCACCAGTCCATCCTCTCACTCACCAATCCATCCTCTCACTCACCAGTCAATCCTCTCACTCACCAGTCCATCCAATCACTCACCAGTCCATCCTCTCACTCACCAGTCCATCCTCTCACTCACCAATCCATCCGCTCACTCACCAACCCACCCACTCACTCACCAGTCCATCCACTCACTCAACAATCCATCCTCTCACTCACCAGTCCATCCTCTCACTCACCAGTCCATCCACTCACTCAACAATCCATCCACTCACTCACCAGTCCATCCACTCACTCACCAGTCCATCCACTCACTCACCAGTCCATCCACTCACTCAACAATCGATCCTCTCACTCACCAGTCCATCCTCTCACTCACCAGTCCATCATCTCACTCACCAGTCCATCCTCTCACTCACCAGTCCACCCACTCACTCACCAGTCCATCCTCTCACTCACCAGTCCACCCACTCACTCACCAGTCCATCCACTCACTCAACAATCCAACCTCTCACTCACCAATCCATCCGCTCACTCACCAGTCCATCCACTCACTCACCAATCCATCCACTCACTCACCAATCCATCCTCTCACTCACCAATCCATCCACTCACTCACTAATCCATCCACTCACTCACCAGTCCACCCTCTCACTCACCAATCCATCCACTTACTCACCAATCCATCCGCTCACTCACCAACCCACCCACGCGAGTGTCAAAAGGAACAAACCATCTCCTGTTATGCTATACTAAAGAGACATCTTGTAAATGCTGTGTATCTAAAACATTTTTGGTGAAACTGGTTGAGCTAAAACATGGAACTTATATGGCATGACCTTCCCGTAGCAACGTTGATAATGCAACATTATCCGTTGTAGTTGTTTTTTTCTAACATAAATTACAGGTGATAATTGTTGATCAAAGACCTTACCATAACTTTCTTTCTCATGATCAAATTAGATCACAAAACAGAAGTTGTAGATGCCATTGCCACAACAAGGACATCTGACAATTGCCACTGCGTGTTTATACAAGCAGTTGATGAAAGCGCTCATAAAATACCCATTTCACGCACAGGGTCACATCGTCCGAAAGCCTGTTAGCATACATACCGAACGTAGTCGCATTATATCATTGTGATATGCATCGTTTATTTAACATGCCTGTATAATTTGAATAAAAACGCTCATGCCTTGTTTCCAGAAACAGAAAAGGCAGGTTTAAGGGACTTGGGAAGTTATCATTGTGCTGTGGCACGTCCTGTGTCTAAATATAAAAGAACGTTTTAACTGTAACATCGTAAGTAAGGTCATCATTGTAAACTGTAACTAGAGTCGGAACAGATGATGCATAAATGGTTTATTTTTCTAAAATGTCTTCTTTATTTGTTTGAACATTAAGCAGGTTTTCCACCATTGATGTTTTAGCTGAAATTTTATACTGAAACCCAGAAACGTCTTTGTTGCCTGTCACAGTTTGCCATGCAGTGTAGTGTATATCTGAATACACATCTGTATACAAATGGGCGTATATGGCAGGACCTAACCCGGATTCCCACAGATCAATGCTTACGCAGGTGTCAGACAAGGTGTGCCCTCATCTGCAACACCGATACCCCAGGGATGTGCACAGGTTATAATGTACAAATTTGTGTGTACTGAGTATGGATAGAATCTACAATGTCTATATAAGGATAGGTTACCAGTGAAGGTTATCATAACAGATACCTGTTTTCAAGTAACACGTTTCTTTTCTTACTGACATTTTATTACATGTATTAAGTTTCACACTGAAATACAGAATTTCAAGAAGACATGGCGAAGTAAAGTGTCATATAACAAATTAAAATAGTTACTCAAAAAGAAGTATGAACGTGATGTTCTTGTGTAAATAATATGTATGTTCGTGTGTATGGTACAGGATCTGCTAAATATATCCACAGATAGGAGGACAGGATGCAAGCAATGGCCAAATACGTATTTATATTTACATGTGACCTTTACATCAGTGAACGGGTGCTGTGTGATATCTGCTAAATATAACCACAGATAGGAGAACAGGATGCAAGCAATGGCCAAATACGTATTTATATTTACATGTGACCTTTACATCAGTGAACGGTTGCTGTGTGATATCTGCTAAATATATCCACAGATAGGTGGACAGGATGCGAGCAATAACCAAATACGTATTTATATTTACATGTGACCCTTACATCAGTGAACGGGTGCTGTGTGATATGTGTGGTAAGATAGGAATATTACTGTAAGAATATTGTCTGACCAGGAAATAACGTTATGATTTTGCTGGTATTGAATTCCACGTAGGTAGTCAAACATTAAGTTTGTGTCAACGATTTATGGTCAAGCAAAACGCAAGTGAATATTGCCAATTAATGATAGGTATAGCTCTGGTTTCCCGCAAACATATATTATTGATACGTGGGGAACACAGAAACTAACACAGACAAATATTACCAAAACATGCTAAATAGGTGCGATGTTACATACAAGAGTACGAATAAAAACATTTCCATAATCATGAGACATTTATGCCGAAAGCAAAGTCCATAAGTCCATATATAGAGAATACTACACGAGGTCTCATCACATACGAATTATATGAAAAGAGTGTCCTTCCTATGGTATCTGACCGAGCGAAAGCGAGGTCAGATAACATAGGAAGGTCACGAGTTTCGTATAATTCGTATGTAATGAGACCGAGTGTGGTATTTTATTTATTACCCACGTCTTACATGCATTAAATTGACAAAATAACGTAGTTTTGTTAATATTTTGGTTTCAAACCGAAACCGGTTTCATAAAGAGGTTGCGGAAGAGTTTTGTACTGTAGTACAATATTTGCATGACGTCACTGTAATGACGTCACTGCCTTGGTAACCGACGTCACGATGCATGTCAGTTGTCATCGCCTCGTACAGCCTCCTACAGTAAACTCCTCCGTAGCACCCCGTTTCTTGGTTTGCAGTTGCTTCATTCGGCTAACATCACTGGTGGAAACATTGCGTTTACGTTTTTCGACGGGTATAATGTCTCAGTTCGACTCACAATTAAACAGCGACACGGCAACGTTCGCGATGTTTACATTCCCACAATGCATTTAGTTGTAGAATGAATGGATCCACGTGTTTGTTATGAATGAAAAAATAGTTACGTCAGAATGTGACCTAATTGAGAGGTCATCGGTTATCCAATGAAATCGTTAGAATCTCAGGTCAAGTCGTTACGACACAGGTCAACGCGATACGACACTCGTGTGACGTACGAGATTAGTATGCAACTACCCATACGTTGACCACGTGGGTAATAAATCATTATCTGACGGGTTGTATGACAAGTGGGATGATCACAACTTTCCAATACTTGAAGTCAAATCTATGTCGAGCAGCATTCAAACAGCTCCACCCTTTGGTGCCTACATTATCATGATGCTTGTTCAGAGGTTATCATCAAGGTTACAACATCCAAACCTCCGTAAAGCTTTCAACATGTTTTATGGTATACTCGTGAAGGAGAATCCAAAATGTTATCTATATGTTTATGATTGAGTGAGTGAGTATGATTTTACGCCGCTTTTAGCAATATTCCAGCAATATCACGGCGGGGCACACCAGAAATGGGCTTCAGACAATGTGCCCATGGTGGGGATTTGAACCCGGGTCTTCGGCGTAACGAGCGGACGCTTTATCCACTAGGCTACCACACACACACACACACACACACACACACACACACACACACACACACACACACACACACACACACACACACACACACACACACACACACACACACACACACACACACACACACACACACACACTACCCCCGCCGATCACCCACCTGTGTTTATGACGGGTGCGACCAGAGGGGCAGACTACGGCCTCCTTTTCGCGAACACCTGGTATCACCACTATTTGACAGTGAATCATGAACACATGCTTTTGACAAAGTCGGAATTGTACAATCGGCTCAGTTCTTCCCCGAGATTTCTTATGGCTGTGGGAAGGGTTTTGTAGCTTGTATTTATGAATTTCTATCTCACAGTGATCATACCAAAGTTCGCGAAAAGCCACAAAAATTTGTCAAACTGTCATAAACGCACGAATAGGAAAATATAAGCGACAAAACCCTTTCTACATTCATAAGAAAAGATTCTTTTATTTACCTGAGAAAAAGCGAACATACGATGCAAGTCAATTAAGAAATTGCAACAGAAATCATTTGTCAAGTAAATATATTTAAATGCGATTTTGTCACCTCGTCTTTCGGACCAGAATATGCAAATTATGGCTCACTCTTCATATCACTGCATGATATATACAGTTCGTGGAGTAAACTGGATTTTGTATCACGCCATATCTGCTACGAAATACTTGTAGTGCAAAGAAATTGGAAGTGCAGTGGCCTGTTTATAGAGGGTGAACCGTAAACCATGTTAGGGTGAAAGAGTTCTATTCTGTATAGGGTACACTGGCCCGTTATATGCTACACATTGTAGCATTCACGGCTTGCGTTTGAGCGCTATATTTCAAGAGATGCTCAGCGCTTCTTCAGGGCTTATTTGATTAATTGATTTTGTTGAAATTAATAACAGATAAAATTATGAGAGTTAGAATGCAAACATCAATGCGCTGAAAGGATACTATTTCTGCTATAAAATCTGCATTCCAATATATATGATTCTCCGTTTCCGCCACTGGGTCCATACTTAGTGGACATAGTCGTTGAATTGGTTACTTGACAACCCTCGATCAGGTTATAGCTGCTACATCTAAATTCACAGAGTGCAATTATGTAAATTGAGGTACTGATATAAGAGAGAAATATTCCTCCAGGGAATATGGTTGTTTAAGTGTTCTATATAGGTATTAAGTTTAGAATAATGCATTCGCTCATCCCAATATTCAACAACTAATTATTATTATATCTCTACAGCAATGTATCTTCACCTTTTCTGTGCTTATTGCTACCATAAACCCTTGTTGTTGACTTTGTAACCATGGGAACAAATAACAAAAAGTAAAAAAAAAAAAAAGTTTAGAATAACGCGAAATTTGCTATCGATTGCAAGACACTTTTGCTTAAACTTGTTTTAGAAAGATTCTGTACATATGATTTCCTGCTTGACCCAGATATATCCAAAACCATATCTGAAGAAGAGATATTTAACCTTTAAGGATCAGCAGCTTCGACCTTGTTCAGCGAGACCATACCGATAACGATATGTCTTCCTCAAAAATCACATTATTTTTGTCATAAAAATCCGTATCCAATATTTTACAATTTAAATATAACGATGAACCTTACGTAAGCATCGACCTAGTTCACCTCCACCCTCAACATCTGGCGAACTACTGCCAATATGTAGAATCTGTTTACAGAAGTTATTGGAAACCAGTGTTACCTCCCGGAAGAATGAAAACCACAGATCTCCGACGCAAAACACAGCACGAGTAGTATTTTGACATCAAATATATGAAAAAGTATATAGATTGGACACTCTGTGAAATTATGTAGATGAGATTGCCATCAAATAGATTTTTTATTCTTCGTTTTCTCGACATTCACTTCTAATTACCACATTTTACAGTACTCTGCTACCGTATCAAGACTCCACTGGAGACGAGTCATAGAAACGTCGAACAGGATCAAGTTATTGGCGAATAGCAGCATAAATATGTCAAGAATAATTAACTTGATACTGCGCTACCCATCTTCACATAAGAGATCCGTCATATCATTTATGTAAAGAGGAAACAGGAAGGGAAACAACTGGCAGCCCTGTTTAACCTAAAATGGGAAGTCCTAGAATTCAGTTTACCCATTAAACAAGCCGGACGCGTAAATATACATAGCTGTAAAACGAAAGATCCTTCCCTTGTAAATAAAATAGCAAACCATTTGTAAAAAAAACTGAGTCAAAAGCAGCTCTTTAGTCATTAATGAACAGTGTACAGTACCCTTGTAAAAAGCTAAATACTTAATAATTCAGTCTAAAATCAAAATGTTTTCTGAAAACTTTTGCGAAACCCAGCCTGCTCCGGGACCAAGAGCTGTCCGCTTTCTGCCCGATGGTATAACCGATTACATAACACCTATAAAAGATCTTGAAAGAGACCTCCAGAAGTATGACTGGATGGTGTCCTGCCAAAACTTCTACATGCCAAAACTCCTACAGACTAAAACAACAAAATACATGGTCAAGTGCACCGCTAATCCTCTGTCCCTTACATCAAGTGCACTGAATGGACTAGTCCGAATATAGTATGAATAGAAACTTTTGAGAATTTTAGGAATATGTTTAATTGGATTTCTAGTATAAACAACCTTGACCAGCTATCAAGTGCTTGGTTTCATTCAAGAGAGACAACTCCGTTAATCCTTTTTCATTAGTTTGTGAAAGGTTATCCCCTTTTTTTACTTGCTAGCAGACGACATTTTCAGTGATCCTCAGTATGGATGAATTAGAGAAGACGAAGTTGATTTTAGAGTATTATAACAAGGACATCAGATCAGGTAGAGTAATTTCAAGTAGAACAAGCATCCCTTTGTCCACTGTTTATCGTGTTTTGAAAAAATATTGCAAATGGATATGGCATTGAGCACCAGGGAGGCGCAGGTAGGCCCAGAAAATTGACTGTCGGTGACAGGAGGCGGCTTGGTATTCTTGTTTCTAAAAACAAACGAAGGAGTTTAGAAAACTGAAGGCTGGATATGATTGATAGAGGAACTGTGGCTGTCTGTAAGGAGACAATTAGAACTGAGCTGCATGCAATGGGTTGGCAGAAAAGTCGAGGAATTCCATCACCGATCATGAAACCTGAATAAATGGAGCGAAGGTTGAACTTGTGCTTACAGCATAGAAAATTTAACTGGGACAATGTGATTTTCTCAGATGAAAGTTCTGTGTGGCTGTTTCCTAATACACTGAAATTCTGGACCAAACAAACTGAAAAACCTTTGTCTCAGCGCCCAAAGTACAGTCAGAAATTTAACGTGTGGGGTGGTACATCTGTGTTTGGGGCAACGCCCCTCTGTGTAATTGAAGGGAATATGAACAGTGACCGGTACACAGATATTCTCAAGGGACTTTTATTTCCATCTGCTCACGTGTTCTATAGAAGTTTTGGATTTTCCAGCAGGACAACGACCCAAAACATCGTTCAAAGCATTCACAGGCCTGGTTTCGGACCCAAAATATCACATTATCAGATTGGCCAAGCTATAGCCCTGACCTAAATCCACTAGAAAATGTTTGGGGACTTATGAAGGAAAGTGTCAATAAGAAAAATCTGACAAATATTGCTGAAATGAA